GAGGAGGAGGAGGAGGAGGAGGAGGAGGAGGAGGAGGAGAAAAGAAGAAGAAGAAGAAGAAGAAGAAGAAGAAGAAGAAGAAGAAGAAGAAGAAGAAAGAAGAAAGAAGAAAAGTCATGGCTTTTGAAACTGAATGTATTCCTGCTCCTGTGTAGTCCTGAGGAGGAGAAGGAGGAGGAGGTGGTGGTGGAGGAGGAGGGAGGAGGAGGTGGTGGTGGAGGAGGAAGAAAAGTCATGGCTTTTGAAACTGAATGTACTCCTGCTCCTGTGCAGCTCACTGACCCTGCTGCAGGGTGCCAGGGGCCCTAAAATGCCTTTTCAATCAGGAAACTGGTAGAGATCTTTCCAAAGGACAAGTGAAGGAAACAGTCTCCATGTGCCCCAGTAGCCTATGCTTAGTAGAAGTATTTTAATGGACATTTTCAACAAGTTATTGCCTGGGCACTTTGAAAAAAGTATCCCATTATTTGGAGCTGGGCATTTAACTCTGGAAAGAAAAATTGTCAAGTACAGTACCCTAGGCAGCCTGTGCACTCCCCGACTCAAAAAGAGAAACGCAGAAGAGAACACAAAACAGAATGGGCTAAGGGAGGGAAGGGGCTGGATCAAAATCAGACCCTGCAGGAAGCTAGGGTCTTTTGCAAAGGACCTAATCATGGTGCTGTTGACAGAACCTGTGCACACCTTTCTGTACAGAGGCCACCAGGGAATCCCATACCTCTAGCACGGCCACCTCCTGTCCATTGCGAAGCAGTCGGAAGGTCAGCGGGTGCTTGGAATCCAAGCCAGGAATCACCTCGCAGCCACGGAGAGGGATGGAGACGATGTGGGTCTTCAGGTCAGACCTGTCCTTGTGGAAAATGAGCTTGCTATCCTTCACTCTGCACCAGCGCTCCCTCCAGCGGCTGTTGGAGAGCACATTTAGGTACCCTGCAAGGAGAGGATGCCACAGCTCAGCCTCCTGAACAAGCAAAGGTACTAGTGAGATCTACCCAAGTCTCTTGTCTGTGGTCTCTTACAGACCAGGGCAGTACCATGCATGAAACACATGCTTACACCCCAGGTTTTAAGTGTTAATAAAGAGAGAAGAGCCATTATTACACAACTCACTCTCCACAGGACCTGGAAGCTTTTTACTGGTGCGGAAGACATTTCATGGTATAAGAACCATTTTCAGATACTTGGTATTGATATGGAAACCATCTTGAAACAGTGACAGTGCATGTGGGATGGCTAGAAGGCAATGGGGACCAACCTCTGCCTGCATATAACGGGAGAGAAATCGAATGCAAAAAAGATCTAACTGCAAACACTGCAAGCAGGGCATGGGAGACAGAAAAATAGAAGTATCTGAAGAAGAAAATTCTCCAGGAAGTGGGAGGCCTAGGGAGTGGTGAGTTCCCTAGCACTGGATGTGTTCCAGCAAATGACAGAACATAGCTGGTATGAGCTCCCCACCCACAGGCCTGAGGCCTCCTCCTGGTCTCTATGTTCCATCCCCACATGTGGAAGTGAGGGCTTCATCTCATGGGGAGACAGATGAAACCTGACCGCCTGAGTCTGGGTCTGCTTTATGTTCTTGTTCTTGTTCTTGTTCTTGTTCTTGGTGTATCTGGCATGATACTGTATCTTCAGTGTATCACAAAGAGATGTGATGCCGCCCGTGACAGAATTACAGGGAGGAATTATCCCCTGAAAGGGAAAAATCCTCAAACACAGGAAAATGACAATTTGTGGCTATCATAAACACAAAGCACATTTTTCTAGAAATGCTGAGGCATGAGTTGGAGGTTCCATGGTGACTGTGGCAGCTGTGGCTATATGGCCTCCAACTGTTCCATGTCGCAGATACCAACACTCGGAGATTAGAAAGGGATTAGACGGTAGAAAGGGGTAAGCAGCAGGTGAAAAGGAAGATGCTGAAGAGTGCTGGGTACCACTCAGCATCTTCCAGTCCTTGCACATGTATGCTCGCATGCCCAGTGCCCAGGCGAAGTTTTGTACATCTTGATGAATATTTTCAAGATACTGCTCAATGACTGCCCACATTCACAAAGTGTGAGTTCTCATCTAGGTGTGGGTCATCTGTGCCCACACACCCTAAAGTATACCTCTTGATGAACAAAAATTGCCATTAGCCATGCCAGTCAAGAAATCTGTGAGGTCTGGGGGCTCCAGAACAGGGAACTTGCTGCTCTCTCGTGTTTAGGCAGCTTTTAAACTTGTTTTCCAAGGGCCACCTGGGAAGGAGGAGACACCCTCAGGTGTGGGGTGCCCTACCAGAGGCCACAGTCAGACCTGATGCCTCCATGAAAGCAGAGAAGATGGATAAGGAAGGTTATTCCCATTATGGCTGCAGGCCTCACTGGATCTTCATCCTGTACAACACCACAGTTAAGTGATACTGCTCTTTTTTAAAGGCTTTTAATGTGTAGATGGAACCGTTCTCGTTTGTTATTATTTTAAATGGAAAGCCCTGTTTTACAATGCAGTCAGGTGAACACCTCAGTAGAACAGTTGCTCTCAGTGTTCTGACCACCACCTACAGCAATCAATCATGCCAAAAGCCACATGCTGACTTCTGAGTAGATGTCACCTGTGTCAACAGAGCCTAAGTGTTTTCTGAGCACAAGTCCACAAACAGGATGTCGGGAAGCCCTCGAGTAACTTGATATACTCTGTAGGCAAGGCTCACACACGCCTGAACTGTTTAACCACTGTTAAAGAGCCACCCGTCCTGGGAGTGACAGCACACGCCTGTGATCCCAGCATGTAGCAGGGAGGATCATGAGTTCAAGGTCAGCCTGGGCTATAATAAGACCCTGTCTCAACAACAACAAAAACTAACCAGTGTGGGAGTATATATTTTCAGCACTCAGGAGGCAGATGAAAGAGGACTTGAGTTCAAGATCAGCCTGGATGACAAGGAGGAGCTGCCTTAAAACAAACAAATAAGCACTGAACTCTAGGGCATCGTGGGTGTCATGGAGCTACCAGATAGGGAAAGGACATGTCCTGTGCAGGTTTGCAGAGCCAGCAGCTGAAGGAGTAGAAGATATAGAGGCATGGGACCTCCAGTGGTCACACTGTAGAGAGCCTCAGATGCCAAGTCAGGCAGATAGCATCAGACACTGGGCCAGTATGATAGCCTTAGATACTAAAGCAGGCAGGTAGCCTCAGCAGCAGACTGGACAGAAGGTACTAGGGCATTGTGTCAGTAGTAAGAATAGTGAGACTAATGCACACCTGGGGAACTTAGCAGAAACACCCATAAATTGTCCACGACTTTGACTTAGGGCTCACAGCTGGGAGCTGCCTCCCCAAGTGCACACAGCTGTCGCTGGACACCGCCCACCATCAGAACAGGCAGCAGCACTGGCTCTGCCTTGCTCTCTCTGCAGACAGAATCTGGCCACAGTCACCAGATGCTGTAGCTTTCCCAACATCACAGTTACAGAGGAATGATTGCATGAGACAGGTCCTCCCTTAATTTAGACCATGACTTCATGGGACATTACCATATTTTAATACATTCTTGGGATTTAAGTCTCAATGAAAGAAAGAAAACAAAGAAAGAAGGAAAGAGAGAAAGAAGGAAAGAAAGAAATTCCCTGGATGACAGGTCTGGCTCACATAAACAAGAAGCTCTCAGATGTGTCCATGGTTTTGTGTTTGTTAACTGACATCCATAGCACCCTGTTTTCTCAAAAAGGGGGCTCCCAAGTTTTTGCTTTATTGGGGAGGGAAAACAGAGATGCGTGAGGTCAGTCAGAGAATGGCAGAGCTCCTCAGGCAGTGGTCTAGGGTCAAGGTGGGTCCCACTCTTGGTACCAACACTCCTGGCCTTGCTGAAGGGATGGGCCCAATTTTCCAGCTGAAGCAGACATCTGCCACCAGAGGGTGCCAGAGTGCAGCCAGGACCTGAAGGCCTGGTTTCCAGACTGGCCAAGAGGCTGGAGGCTTCAGAGAACTGTATCCCAAGCTTTAAGTAAACAATTACACATAGAGTTTTGTTGTTTGATTTAATTAGCTTTGTTTTTTGTGTTTTGGGAGGTTGTTTTTTGTTTGTTTTGTTTTGTTGGTTGGCATTGTTGTTGTTGTTGTTGTTTGTTTGTTTTTTCTTTGGAGGCAGGGTTTCTCTATGTAGCCCTGGGCTGTTCTGGAACTCACTCTGTAGATCAGGCTGGTCTTGAACTCACTGGGATCCACCTGTCTCTGCCATCTGAGTGCTGGGATTAAAGGCATGCATGTGCCACCACCACCCAGCTTGGCTGTTTGTTTTGGTTTTTGTTTTAATTCCACTCATATTATAGCAAGGTGCTAATGCATCTTAAAAACTGGGTAATTTCAGTTTAATATTTTGGTATTCTTTCCACTCCAAATTCTACAGGAAGAAAGGCAAGACTAATCAAGGTTTCATTAGAATTACAAAGCTAACTTTACAGGCCTGAGATTCTACATTTTTTTCACCTGACCCTGGGCAGGCCTGGTGTGCAGATGTGTTTTGTTGACTTGAAGGCATGGCAGGTGAAGAATGGACAGTGACGTACATAGGCAGGCATTCAGCACTGCACAGCTTATCTTCCACCCTCACAGAAACCAAGAGACTGCTGGGGCCCACGTCCCAGACAAGCAACCTGAATCGCCAAAGCAATGGCTTTACTGCCCTGTGCTGGGCCCTATTCTGGGTGATGGGGACCCAGTGGAGCAGGGTCATAATCTAGCCATGCAATAGGAGACTTGGACAAGACTGGGATCCCAGGTGGGTAGCAAGAGGAGATCTCTATGTGTGTGCCCAGGATGGTGTGACTAGTGTAAGGTGCCTGTGGTGAGCAGCAGTGGCCGGGGCAGGGGGTGACAGGAAGGAGAAGCACTGAAAGGAGGGCACACTTCCAGGTCATACAGCTTTGCTTATAAAGAATCCCAGGACAACATCAGCCCACGGAAAGCCTGATGAAAACCACCTTGGGTGTATCACTAGGATTCATTTACCTGGAGGGCTATGGGAGAAGCTGCCCGGACCAACATTAACATATCCCTCAAAGGTCTCTCAGGTGGATAGAGACAGAACCTGGGGCAGTTCAGCTGCATCTGCAGGTCTGCTCTTCAGCCCATGAAAGCCCTGCAAGAGCACCCAGGAAGCCACAGCACCCCACCCACCATAACCAGACTGCAGTGCATAGACAAGCACCAAGCTCGGCTCAGTAACTAAAGGAAGTCTTTTCTGTTCTGCCCTTCTGGCCCATCAGCTTAGCTCTGTCTCCCAGCAGCTGCAGGGGCTCAACTTGGCAGGGTCAGCCCCCTCAGGCTTGAGTCCAGCCCCTTTCCTCGGCCCAGAGCCCTGCAGCTGCACTGAAGGGCTGAAAATGGCCATTGTTCCCTGTTCCCCTAGAGACACTTCCCCTTACCCCTGGTCTGGCAAAGAGCTGCTCGGCAATTTTAGAGTTGTGTGTGGCAGATGCCTCAGGCCCCTGCTCTCAGAATCACCCATACTTTCAAGAAAGTGACCAGCACAGAGATGAGCCACTGTGTGACAGCAACAGTGCCAACAGAGCAGTTTATGGGGAGGCCTGTAGGGCTGTGCTCTTCTGATAAGGAAATACAGGAGAGGACAGAAAATGTTTGTAGGGGGTGGGGGTCACCCATTCTGTCTTCAATGAGCCCTGAGACTCAGACTTGGAGCAAGTCATGCCTATCTCTGAGCATCAGGGTTCTCTTTTGCAAAAGGAGGATCCAGACTTCAGCCTTACTTGCCTGCCTTGTTAATGCACAGTCATTCCTCTTAAAAACATTTTTACCTCCAGTCAGGCCTTGAATCCCAGCACTCAGGAGACAGAGGTAGACAGTTGTCTGTGAGTTCAAGGCCATTAAGGTTTACATGATGAGACCATGTCTCAAAAAACTAATTTCTATTTCCTCCACTGACCTAGATCAGTTGAAAAAACAAAACAAAACAGAAGTAGCAGGGCGTTGGTGGCACACACCTTTAATCCCAGCACTTGGGAGGCAGAGGCAGTCAGATCTCTGTGAGTTCCAGGCCAGCCTGGTCTACAGAGTGAGTTCCAGGATAGCCTCCAAAACAACACAGAGAACCCTATCTCGAAAAACCAAAAACAACAACAACAACAACAAAAAACAGTAGTAAAGCTTGATTTAATTCTCAACTTTGGTCATCACAAGGGCTGATGACAAAAGCAGGGAGAAAGAATACATGCACAAGAGCTCCAGGAAGCTGGAAGTTGGCCAGGAGCAGTGTGGCCTTGTCTCCAGACCCTGCCCACTCTGTCACAGTTCTGTCCAATTGGGTTTACTGCAACCAAGTTCTTTCTTCATGGAAAGGAGTGTGATATGGAAGCCATCATCACTAGCTGCCCTGATTCTGTCTTTCTGTTCCCAGTAGTCACTTGATGAGATACAATCCAGGAATCTGGGGTGTATCAGGCTCCTGGTACCTACAGAGGTTATGATTCTTTCCTGATTGCGCCCCCAAGGAGGGCACTCAATGGGGACAAAGGGGACTGTTAACAGAATGACTGTGGATGAAGGAAATGTGTGTTCACACAGATGGGAAGTAGAGTCTGAAACAGTAATACACAAGGACAGTTGCAGCCCATTCTTGTTTTCATTTTTGTTTTTCTGATAGAGGGCCTTGCTACACAGCCCTGGCTGGTAAGCCCAGGCTAGCCTTACTGGCAGCAACCCTCTATACTTCAGCCCCCCTGGTAGTAGGATTATAGGAATGTACCCCCATGCTAGGCTCTGTTCTTGATTTTTTTTTTTAAAGAAAGGAAAGAGCCTTGTGGTAGAACACTAGCCTAGAACGTCTGTAGTACTGTAAAACAAAACAAAATAAAAAGACAAGCACCTCTATTTCCACTTATGCAGTTTTCCTCCTTGAAAGAACTACACAGTTCTCCTAAGTTTGGTAACTGGGGCCATTACAGTGACATTGCTTCTACTCTCATGGAGACTGTACCCAATGGCCTGGCCACAGCCCAACTTAGGTGCTATAATAGAACCCTCCACCCCTTTGCTTTCCCCATGGTGTTCCCCACTGGTGTTACACATGCATTCCTCTGGTTTGTTTCCCTGTTTGGTTCCTTTCTTTAGCCCCTAGCCCAAAGGCCATGGTGGGCAGGACTGGCTTGGTTGTTGCTGTAGACCATATGCTTTACCCAATCCCTGACAAGCAGTTCCCCTCACCAAAACAAAGATGGAAGACAGACTGTAGGATGGACAGATGTCTCTGGATCTACAACTTGTGCCTGTGTCCTAGTCTGGAAATGCTGGAGTGGGACCAGGGAAGGTGCCGTCATACAACAGAGAACATAGCTTTTTAACCTTGAAAGAACCCGGGAGAACATTGCAAACCCCCCGAAGACTCTTCCATTACTAAATACTGAATTCCTCAATTCAGATGGCCCCAGAGTACAGCCAGGGACAGTCTGCTGCTCTGCTGCTGGCATGTAGCAGGATCTTACCACAGGTGGGCACATCTTCCTCTGCTGATGATGTCTGCTCATCTGTGGATGGCTTTTTCTTCCCCAGACCGATGATCTTGGTGATTTTCTTCCCAGTGACCTTGGACACAGTTCCCTTGGCATCTGACTTGGAGGTTTTCTTCCTCTTCACTGTCAACACAAAAGTGTTTCTTAACCATTCATGTTAAATGGGAAAATCACAGCATTAATCACCAGGCATTTCTTCCCCTGCAGACTGTTACTCATCGTGCACATGGGCATCTGGGATGAGCCAGCTGGGGGTGCGGATGTTGGGGTTGCGGGAGGGTATGGCTGCACTCAGGAGGACCAGGCATGTACATATGTGCATACAGACACATCTGCATTATCACACACACATGATGGACTGAAGGCAACAAAGGATGGCAAATAATGGCAAGAACCATGTGGAGATGGGAATGACTGGAAGAATGGCTGGGTGGTCAGACAGAGCCTGACCGAGTTCTGTCTGTCTCAGAGGGAGAGATGCCCAGGCATGAAAGGTTGACATACACCATCAGTATGGGGAAGGTGGAGGGGCCCAAGAAACTAAGAGAAGCTGCTGCCATTTCATCAGTAGCCTGGCTGACAAGGGCTGGGTCTGCAAGGAGGGATGGGGTAGTGGATCCTCATTACAGGCCTCTCATGTCCATTTTGGACAATGTTTTGAGTTTCCCTGTCCAGAGCTCTCAGACCAGAGGCCTACCGTTCAGACCATCATCTCATTTGGACAGGACAGTGATGACTAGAAACTGTCAATATATAAATCTAGAAACATTTTGTACAAAAATAATTTTTGGCATCTCCAGAAAAACCAGAAGACCTGGAAATCCTGAACTCCCACATTCATCATCTTGGTGCAGAGTCCATGCAGGCGATAAGGGCTCCAAGTTCTGACATAGGGCAGTTCTCATCTGTCCATACCATGCAATGGAGGGAGGTTGTCTGACAACTGGATCTACTACTACCCAGCCCTGTTTCCTGCCTCTCCTACCCTCAGACTCCATCCATGAATCCATCTGAACCACAGAGACGAGGCTCAGAGAAGTGAGAATGGATGTGTAAGGACACACTGAGAGCAAGCCCCTTTCCCAGGGGTCTCCTCCACTGGGACACAACCTCACTGGGATACATTTCTGCATCACGACCAATACAGCATCACCTCACACCCTACACACACCTAGTACAAACCTTCAACCATTTGTGGCAACACAAAGCCCTTTAGAATGCAGCAGGTATCCAGGCTCCTTTCTCCTTTTTCAGGAACAAATGGACCCCAGCACATCACACAGATTACTAGAGACAGAACATCCAGGGGCATGTGATGTGCTATGGAATAATTCCCCAACCCCTCCTCTAAGCTAGCGTGCTCACTCACAAGCGTCCCTCCCATTCCTCTCTGGTGAAGAGGTGGAAACAGTACTCATTTCTATTTCCACCTGCCCCTACCCTCCCTCCATGATCAATAGGTGAAATCCCTGCCTACTCTCTGGTGTAAAAGAAAGTGGCAGTGTGTGAGGCAAGAACTGCCACACTGTAGCTAAAAGATGAAGCCATCAAGAATTTGAGGGCAAACAATGTTCTATACTGAATATTCCTGCCTGGGCCCTACAACTCTGGCCCAAGAGTATTTGGAGATGAGCGTTCTAATAAATGAGGCTACGGGGTATGAATGATTCATCAAAAAGTAGTGCCCTTTTATAGACTGTGTGTGCACAGAGCGTGTGAAGACACAAGCCAGGGAGAAAGGCCCTCGGGTACCAACCCTACCTGTGGCCTTGATCTTGAGCTTCTGTTGTTTGCACCCTAGGCTGCCGCATGTATTGTTACAAACAGACATTTTTTTTCTTATTTTAAATAACCCAGATTAAGGCCTCCTGAGAATCTAGGGAAAGGGGCAGGGAATGTCCATATTTTTCCATGCTCTTAGATACACATTTAATTACTGAGTACTGAGAACCTATCTAAAGCCTGGATGGGAAGAACCAGTGCTTCCCCCTCTACCAGACAGAAGCCCAGGGCAAGAGATTTGGGTCACTTCTACTTCATCCCAGCCAAGACACATAGGATAGAAGTGACAGTATTTGGCTCCATCAGTGACTTGCCAGGAACCTGTAGATGAGTTCACTGTCTTCTATTCCCAGGCAAGCTGGAAATGAGAGGGGGGGGGGGGGGGGGGGGGGGGGGGGGGGGGGGGGGGGGAGGACACTCTCCTCAAGGCTCTACCCTAAGGTAACTCAGGCAGCAGGACTCAGTAAGAATAGGATTCAGATTCTCAGCATAACTGAGACCAGCTCCTGCCAGCAAAATGCTTTCTGGACTCCAACCCGTAAGGCAAAGAATAATCATATCCTAGGTCACCCCTGGAAGAAAGGTCCCAATATAAGGACATGACAGAAAACCCATCAAGGACACACTGAGGCTATTCAGTGGGAAAGGGGCAGCATTTAACACATTACCAAATTCAAAAGTCAATAGAGAACTTGCAACTCAGTGATGCTACATGACAGAACAGTGGAAGGGTTCAGTGAGGACAGATGGCCAAGACCAATGCCCCAGTGACAAAGATAGAAAGAGAATATGAATATTTCAATGTGCAAATGTCACAAACCTAGGCAGGTCCACTTTCTCTTAGAGATAGACATAAAATGATTTTCTGTCTAGTCTAGGGGAGAGAGAGGTGACATCATCAGACCCCTGGTTCAACAGGTCCACCCACAGATAGCCCATTGAGGACTATGTCTCAAAGGCACACAGCACTGGGTGTGGGAAGCAGTTTCTACAATCTAGGACTTCCGTCATCTTTCCCCATATCAGCTATAAGATGGTCACTGGCTTCCTACTGTCTATACAGGGTTTCATCTTAACAGAAGAAAAGGGCATTTCAGAGCAGAGCTACAGCTTTGATTGATGCCTTCTCTGGGTGAGATCACAGTGTGTAGGCAGCACGGAGGAGCTCAGGCTTCTTCTCTGTGACCACCACAAAATTCATCACAAAAGGGCCAAGCTAAAGAAAGCTCAACTCATGTTTCTCCAATGCAAAGTAGAGAACAATAAAGATGAAGAACAAGGATAAGGGGAGCTTAGGGTGCATCTAGACCATGAAGTTTCTTTGTGATCTTTGACGAGCAACTACAACACTCAAAGTCCAGTATCAGACAAAAGGAAAATGTGTGAGCCAGGTCACCTGCTCATTCCCAGTCACATACAGCTGTTCTTGTTAAAAAGAGAACAAGAGGAACTGGAGAGACCACTTTGTTAAGAGCGTGTATTTCTCCTAGAGGATCTAAGTTCGCATCCTAGCCTTGTTATCAGGTACCTCACCTCTAACTCCAGAGACCCAAAGCCATCTTCTGGCCTCCACAGGAACCTGTACACATGTGCATACAATCACATACAAATAATAAGTAATTTTCTTTTTAAAGAATAAACAGGAGATTCCTAGGGACAGATGCAAAACCTACAGGAACATCCAGCAGACACATTACTACATAGACCCTAGTCACACATGTTCACGGGGGCTGGGGACATGAAGCAAGAAAACTGAGCTGTTGACTGAACTGCTGTACCTTAGCAGAGGAACAGTAACCTGGTGTGTGGTCCCTCTGAGGTCCCAGCTTGGGAGGCTGAGGCTGGAAGACTGCTTGAGACCATGAGGCTGAGATCAGCCTGAACAAAAAGACTATCTCACAACAAAAAGAACAAAATTCAGAGGAAAAAAAGAAAGAAGCAAACCAAACAGTGAAGCAGGAGCCTGGAGACTGCAGGGTGCCCTACCTCAGAACAAAAGTTAAAGATAGCTTCCCACGCTGAGGTCTTCATTACATATAACTTGACTGGTAGTATCTTCCAGAGGGCAGGACTAAAATTACATTTGGACCAGACTGCATTAGAAAACCACAATGAAGAAACAGACAGTGTGACCTTCCGGAGTGAACTGTCACACTGTCTGGGCTCCAGAATTCTCAGGGTGGGGACGGCTGCTGGTGCAGCACATGATTCATTCCCAGGTAGGAGTGCTCATCACATATGAGCCACACAGATGAGGGCCCCGGTACCCTGAGCCCTTAAAGTCTCAGGTCCACGGAGGACTAGCTCTTCCACATTCATTCAAGATGCATCCATCCCTTGAGTGCATACTCAGGAATAAAATGTCCAGCCATACAGGTGGGGGACAATCTTTAGATATTTCATAAATGACTCGCAGGAAGAGTATCTACAGAGCCTCCAGAAGCTCAATAACAAACAATCCTGTAGGAATATAGGCAAAGGATCTGAGGAGACATCCTACCAGAGAGATGCACAGGCAACAAGAACAAATGGCTCACCTCTGGGAGGCCACAGCTGCACACCATCACACATCTGTGAAGTATCCGTTACAGACCGTAGGCCAGACAGAGACTGTAATCCCAGGAGAACAGGTGGCCTCAAAACCCCACATCTAGATAGGTTCTTGGGGGACATGGATTCATATGTTCAAGCAAAGTCCTACCTGGGAGTCAGAATGTCCCCACCATCCCCACATGCCAGGCCTATGTGGAGCCAGAATGTCCCCACAGTCCCCACATGTCCTGTGTGGGAGTCAGAATGTCCCCACAGTCCCTACATGTCCTGCGTGGGAGTCAGGATGTCCCCACAGTCCCCATATGTTCTACCTGAAAGTCAGAATGTCTCTGCAATCCTGTATGTCCTACTTGGGAGTCCCTAGAGTCAATGTATGCCCTGAAATTGGTCAGTGGGTGACAAACTAAGTTCATTTCCATGGGAAATGCTGTGCAACAGCTCTCACACTGTGAATTGAGGTGCACTGAGATAAGGGAAAGAAACCCCCAAGAGGTGGTACCCCCTGGATCCCAAGTGAAGGCAGGAAACAGCAGCTGCTGCCAGGGGTGGGTTGGGGCAGGTGACAGAGAGGAATGCGTAGGAACATGGGGGTGACAGAAATGCTCTCTGGATTGTGGTGGTGGTTACTTGCTGTAGGTATTTATTAAAGCTCAAAGAATGGTTAGGTCAAAGCAGATGTGTTTTACTGAACGCCATTCATATTGCTATAAAGTCAAGTTTAAAAACAAGAGACTTTACCCCCTGCACATCTGTGTTCACTGCAGTTTTGTTCTCAATAGCCAAGGGTCAGAAGTAACACAAGTACCACTGGTAGACAAATGGATGGCAAGATGCAGTCCATATAACGGAATATTAGTCAGTCTTAAAAAGGAAGGAAAGACCCACACATACTACAATGTGAACGAACCCTGAAGACATGTACCGGGTGAAATAAGGCAGTTGCAAATGGGTAAGTACCACAGGATTCCACTCCCAGAGATGGAAAGTAGACTGGTGATTGCTGGGGCTGGGAAGGGGTGAGAGACTTGGGTTTCATGGAAACAAGGATTTGATTTGTGAAGACAGAAAATAAGTTCCAGAGATGGACATAGGTGATGGCTACACAGCCCTCTGTGTGTGTGTGTGTGTGTGTGTGTGTGTGTGTGTGTGTGTGTGTGTGTGTGTGTGTGTGTGTGTTTAATGTCCATAGGACATTTTAAAATGGTGGAAAATTATTAATTCTGTGGGATATGTATTTTCCATGGTTTGACAATAATTTAGATGCAAGTGGGATGAGAGAGAAAGGTTCTGGGCTATTGCAAATCAAAAGGCCTTCCTAGTGTTATTGGGACACAGAGGGTGTGATGCCTGCGTGGGTGAAGCACAAAGGCTTCCCACGCAGTCACACTTCTCACAGAAACTTGTATTTTGAGCTCAGATATTCTTGGCATGTGTGTTAGAATCTCACCTTGTTCTTTTCCATTACACGTGACTCCATTTTCCGCAGCACCTTCTCCATCAGAGCTGGGCCTCTCTGAAGACAATTTCTATAAGGACACAAGGATCACATTATTCCCACAATGGTCATGCAGACATGGTGAAGTATGATGGAAAGTGAAATATTATCTCAAAAGTTAAAGATTACATGGACCAAATTCTCAACACTTTTCAGACAGCACACCAGCACAGTCCTACTGAATGCTGTAAATGGGCACACTGCATTCAGACCTCATTTAATAGCTAAATGAACCAGGCTGTTCACTCCTTTAAGTCTACATCTTTATCCTTTGTTGGTAATAAAGCAAGCCACAGAGTCTGTGAGATGACTCTTTAGAGCTCAGTCCAAAGCAGTCACCAAAAATTGACAGGGGCAGAACTATAGATGAGCCCACTGAAGCACTACAGTTCTCGAAAAATGTTATTAAATCTAGCAATTAGGAATGAAAACATTGAGGTCCGCAGACATGAGAGATACCTGGCTAATCAATACACCACACGTGTATTGAAATGTCTCACCAATTCCTCATAAATACATACAATTCATCTGCACAGAAAATAAAAACCATTAACAAAACAAAGAGCTTCATGAGACCTGACATCTCTCACCTTCTCCAGTTCTGCCTTGTTCACGGGGGCACTGGTGCTCGGTGGTGGAGAACACTCTGGATCCACAGGGCCGCTGCTGCCACTGTAGGCCTCTTTGATCACCTGTGGAGTGAGACACAGTCTGAGCCGGCCCCGGAGGCAAGAGTACAGAGGTGACAGGCTGAATCCTATGTGGGCAGACAGAGCACTACAGTGTGGCAGGGGAACTTGATGGGTCAACAGCACCTGGTGTTTGAACTCACAGGGACTTGAGTTTGTTCTTTGATTCACTCATTTGCTCTCCAAATCACCTGCCCAGTCCTGGCACTACACTAGCTGGGAAATGGCAGGAAAATGGACTTCAGTTTTCTCTGGAAGTTCCCTCCCACAGTCCTGAGATGTCATCATAAGCAATGAGGGCCATCACAAAGTGAGGGACTGGAAAGGTTCTCAGCATTTATGTACTGCTCCTGAAGAGGACCTGGGTTCAGCTCCCTGCGCCTGCCAGGTGGCTCACAACTCCCTGTAATTTCAGCTGCAGGGGATCTGACACCCTTCTGACCTCTTCAGGTGCCTACACTCACACATGCATACATATGATTAAAAATTAAAAGAATTCTTTTTTTTTTAAGTAGGTGGTGTCCAACAAACTAAAGAACTACAAAAATAAAGCATGATCCTTTCACAGGAAGGTGTCAGCTACCTTAGAGCAAGAGGATTTGAGGCTGTCCCAGGATGACACACAAGGCTCTGGACATGTGAATTGACAGGAAAGCTCCTAGGTAGGGGAAATAGCAGTGCAAAGGCCCCAGAGTGCTGGGGAGAAGTAGGCAGAGAGTTGGGGTGGATGGTAAGCGTAAGAGTGCAGTCTCAAGCCCCCTCAGTCCTGGGGAGGAGACTGAACTTGGTCAGTGAAGGAGAGCTGGAAGGACCACAGCATGAGGGCAAACAGCTTTGCTGCCTGGCTTTCACCTTGGCAGAATAATGAATTATTCTGAGCTTGAACTGCCTCCCCCTCTAAGGAGAGTAAATGTTCTAGATGCTTCCATTCTTCCAAATTTGTGTTGAAAATGAAACCCCAAAGATGCAGCCTTGGAACGGGGGAGGTTTTAGAAGGCAGCAGGGTCAGGGTTGCTGAGCCCCTGTGGATGGCTCAGACCGCAGAGAAGAGCTTCCATGCCTTTTGTGTATAGGACACGGCAACTAAGAACCATCTATGAAGCAAACCACGTGCCTTAACCAGTCTCCCCATCTCCCAGCACCTGGATCATGGACTTCCCACCCCTAGAACTGCGAGAGATACATTTCTGTTTATGAATGACCCAATGTGAGGTATCTTGTTAGAGCAACAGTAACAGACTAAGCCCCTGTGATGCTACTTTAAATTGTCAGTTTGACACATGTGGAGTTGCCAAGGAAGAAATTCTCAAGGAAGGATTGTTAGATCAGGTGGGCCTGTCTAGGCAGATTGTTCTGATCCCATTCATTGAAGTGGGATGGCCCACCCATTGTGGGTGAAACTATTCTTTAAATTTGGGTCTTGGCAGCACTTGGGAGGCAGAGGCAGGCGGATCTCTGTGAGTTTGAGGCCAGCCTGATCCCCAGAGTGAATGCCAGGATAGGCTCCAAAGCTACACAGAGAAACCCTGTCTCAAAAAAACAACAAAAAAACAAAAAAACAAATAAAAATTTGGGTCTTGGACTTTGTAGGTATAAGAAGGGGCCTGAGCACAGCAAGCACAGCATTTATTTATTCTCGCTGCTTTTGACTGTGGCGTGATGTGACCATCTACTTCAGATTGCCTTGACTTCTCTACAATGATGGAGCTGTAAGCTACAATAAATCCTTCCTCCCCTAAGTTGCTTTTATCAGAAATAAAGGCACCTACATCTATAGAACAAGTACCTCAGACAATGCCAAAACACATTGTGTGCCAGTTGTCGTAGGAAGAAGGAAATACACATTAGCAAAAGAAAAACCAGTATAGGCAATTTGGGTGAGCACTATGCAGGAATGAGATGAGGGTGACAGTGTGACTGCAGAGGTGACAGTGTGACTGCAGAGGTGACAGTGGGACTGCAGAGGTGACAGTGTGACTGCAGAGGTGACAGTGTGACTGCAGAGGTGACAGTGTGACTGCAGAGGTGACAGTGTGGCTGCAGAGGTGACAGTGTGCTGCAGAAGTGACAGTGGGACTGCAGAAGTGACAGTGGGACTGCAGAGGTTGGGTGAGATGGGATTGGCAGGGCTGAGGCATGCAGGCATTGCCTTGAGGAAGCTGCGGTCATTGCTGGTAGACTTACTCAGGGCCTGGGCATGACTCTTGTATTTCTGTCCTCAGCACTGGGGTGACAGAAAAGACATGCAGGGAGTTAAAGAGGAAAGCTCAGATCCAGAGGCACATCTCAGTCAGAGTTCAAAATAAATAGAGTTGCAAGCAGAACAATGATGCTCCCAGCCACAGAGTGCTAAGGCCCCCAGGAAGAGGAAAGCCAGAGAACAAAGGAGGAAGATCAAGCAAGCCCCTCTCTATCCTGCACTAAAGAGTAGTTAAAGAAGAGAAACAGGGTGCTGGGCAGTGTTGGCACACACCTTTAATCCCAGCTCAGTAGGCAGATGCAGGTCTACATGGTAAATTCTAGGTCAGCCAGGGATACATAGAGAAACCATGTCTCTAAAAATAAGCAACTAATTAAAAGAGAAACTGGGAGTTCAAGCATCATGGGAAGGCAGGAAGCAAGCAAGAGGACTGGCCCCATGAGCAAGAGAAGGAAGTTCAGGAAGGGAGTAGAGAATGAATAACAACCAGGTAGTCTGGGTCTCTCTAAGGCAATGGTTCTCAATCTGTGGGTCACGACCCCTTTGAAGACCACATAGTAGGTATTTACATTACGATTCATAACAGTAGCAAAACAACAGTGACTAAGTAGCAATGACAATAATTTTGTGGTGGAGGTCAACACAACACAAGGAACTGTATTAAAGGGTTATAGCATCAGAAGTTGAAAACCACTGTCTAAGGAAAGCAGAGGACAGGGGAAGGGGCTCCTCCCTCCTCCCGGCCAGGAGGACCTGTACAAAGGCATGGCTTCTCTGGGCTCCTTTCCTGAGCACAGGGCAGGTGGGGCTCAGGAAAGCTGGTCACACGGGGTGACCAGTGAATTCACTCCCTCAGTGAATCAGGAGGACAGAACACCAGTCATCAACTCTGTGGCCTTGGAGGGAAAAAAAAATCACCCCAAGCCTCCATTCCTCACCAGCAAAGGATAGAACTGAGAAGACCCATCTTGCTGAACTATGCCCAAGACAGCACCAGCATGGACACTTTCACAGGTGGCAGTCTCGGTGACATCAGTGCTGTCACTAGTGTGAGCAGCCTTCTGACTCATGCTGAAAGTTCTGACGATGACCATGGACCAGCCACAGAAGCGGGAACTGACAGACCATGGGTCACAATGGCACAAGTGGTTTCTCAGCCACCCCTGCATCATCACTGGATTCTTGAGGTCCAGTGCATGTGGGGCTCACACCTCTCATCTCTGCAGTCAGCAGGTGGCTTTTTTTTGAGGGGGGGGGATACCCTTGTTCTTCTAGGAGCTAAGATGCATTGGGATTCAAGCCCAGACTACTGGGCAAATAGAAACATCAGTGTCCCCAGTCTGTACAGTGGCAGGCAAGTCAGCTTCCACAGCCAGTCCCATCCCTGTCACTTCACTGGTGCTGGGATCTGACCCAAGAATTGTCAGGACTGGGGTCCATTCCCAGACACTTTGTCACTCAGCTTTCCCAAGAGAACAGAATGCCCGCACTTAAGATGGGAAGAAAATGAAAGAGGCAGATGCCTCACTGCAAGGCTCACTCCTGTGACTTCTGAGGTAAAAGCCTGTGGGCAGACTCCACCCGGGGACCTTGCCTTCCCCAAGCAGCAAGAGGGGGGAAAGACCAGCTTCCCTGACCCCTATTCTAGGTCCCTTTTCAGGTTCCCCTTACTTCTGCCCCAGGCAGTGACTAAATCTTCAAGTACAGGCACATTTGCATTAAGGACAGGTGATCCTTTCTCTGGAGATGGAACATATGGTTCAAGTCCAGCTCCCCCACTCACCACCTGAGCAAGACCACACCTCTTACTAAGCCTTATTCTCTTTAGTTAAATCTCACAAAGCAACATCCAACATCACTAGGAAAAGCTGTGTTGGGCATCTCCGTGGTGGGCAGCTGAGAAGCGTCCAAGCCAGCACTTCTGTACCAGGCCTCCAGTAACCTCAGCCTGTAATTGTAGCTTTAACTAAGGAAATTGGCTGCAATTACACAAACAACCCTGAACTTGATGAGTTCTTCTTACTCACCAAAGCCTGCACTCCAGAGGCTGCAAAGGCATGGTCTGGCAAAGCTATATTGTCTTCTTTTTCTTTGTTTTCCCCTGCCCATAGGAGAAGCATGTGGCAGCATGTTTCACCTATTCCTACCCATCTCAGTGGAGGCAAGTGCTGTGTGTGTGTGTGCATATGTGTCTGCCTGTCTGTGCGCATGTGTGTCTGTCATCTGTGTGGCTCTGTGTGTGTCCTGTGTCTGCCTGTCTGTGGAAGTGTGCCTGTGTGACTCTGTGTTTGTCTGTCTGTGGAACTCTCTGCGTGCCTGTGGGCCTGAGTGTGCTGTCCCCTGGAGGAGATGTGCATTCTTTTGTCTAAATACAGCTCATCCTCCAGAAGGCAGCCTCCTCTCTCCTCCAGGCATCCTGCTCCAGCCACCTGCTGTAGGCTGAGGCTTAAATGTCTCCAAAGGCCATATGCTGAAGTTGACCATCAGCCTGGGACTCGATTGGGAAGTGACGAAACTTCAGGAGATGAAGCCTAGTAGGAGGGGATAGTGTGCCCCTCACCTCCACCCACTGCCATCTTCCTAACTGCCCCAAAGTAAGCAGCTTCCTCTATCATATTCTCCTGCCATGACCATTTACCCTGTGGGCCCGAATGCAAGAGTGTCCGCTAACCATGGACTGCAGCGCTGAGCCAAAAGTAAACTTACCCTCCTTCAAAGTGTTTCATTCAGGCATTCTGTCACAGTAGCAGAACTGACTGAAACACTGCCCCAGGTCTGGACACATCCGCATATGCCTAGAGGC